GTTTTCGGGAAAATTGAAAATAAAGAACGACTGTCGCGATAATACCTGCCAAGATATCGTTGAAACGACCGACAATGAAAGACAAGGAGGGAGAAATAAACAATTGAAATCATATCTAAGGAGAGAGAGAGAGAGACACATTAGGACGGTCCATTGGCCCAATTAGGGGGACATAAATGATTTGGCAGAGAAAAGGGAAAGGCAACAATGATGCACCGCCACCACCTCGGAAGCGAATCGCAAAGTCTATTGCACAACCCGTATAATATGTCGTTACGCAACAGCGCGAAAGCTTAAAAATATCGGTCGCTGCACGACTCTCTTTCTTATATATATACGTGTGTATGCCCATCATGCATAAACGGCAAGCCACGTCCACCTCGTATAGCTCCGAGCCATCCTTGGAGCTTTGTATGCAGATAATCCCCCAGAGCGGGCCTCCCTTTCCCCCTCGATGGTGTACATGTCGAAAGAAAGAGATAATCCCGAGTCATCGAGGAATCCTTGCCTCTCTCTCTCTCCGTGAAAGATGAACGGAGCTAGAAGAAAAAGGAGAGGGGCACGAGTAGCTGTGTGGCGTAAAGGCACCCTTTTGTACACGATGTAAGGATCTAACCGAGCAACCACCACACCTGCAGACGTGTGCAACTCCTCCGCTCGCTCTCCGCGGAAGAAAACGGTTTCGAGCGGGAGAAAGAGAGAGGATGAACTCGCGGGACGATAGGTCACGGGAACTCTGCGCTCTCTGGAGCATCGGCTACCTCACCTACCCACATGATACATACACCACCATACCAGCGAGAGAGTGCATAATATGTAAGCTTTGCCGATGGGAGGGAGAGATCGAGTGGGAGAAGGAAGTCTGGAAGCTGCACGAGCGGCATTTTCGCGCGCGCTGCACGAGCCGCACTGCCGACCTGGTGAACCGAAGAGTGAACGGTACCACCTTATAGAGCTGACTGCGAGTACAGTTGTTGGGTACATCCTACGTATGTATATATAATATAGAGTCTTCGCGACCGAACGGCCTCCGATGATCGCTACCTAGCTAGCTATAGCTCGCTCTCCCTCTCTTCTTCTTCTTCTTCCTCCTTTCTTGTTTTTTTTTTNGGATCAATTCAGATGTACAATATAACAAGACACGGGTGATTTAAAAAAATGACAATGGTATAGTACACTTGATCCATCCAAAAAAACATCGAATAATAACTTTTTCCAAGTAAATTCACACCATACACGAGGTAAACCAAAACAAAAAGATTCAAGAGAAGAAATGAAAAAAAAAAAAAAAAAAAAAACCAGGGCCCCCCTCAAAAACCCCCCCCTTTTTTGGGCCGATGCGCTCAGCGAGCTCGAGGCGGAAACCCGCGTGAGCAGCAGGTCTTTCTAGCGGGGGCTCGTTATGTCAAGCCCCTCTCTCTCTCTCTCTCTCTCTTTTCCTGGTTGCAGTGCACACGTGCATCCATATGTTGGTACTTGGGCACACGTGTGTACGTGTATACGTGTGCGCAGATTCCCGAGGAAGAGCGGTACCCACGGCCGGCAGGCTCCACAGGAAGCCGTTAGGTGACTTTGGCGACGACGTCGTCTAGGCTCTCGTGTGTGTATACTGATATACTCCTCCTCACGTGCAACGGCAGCTATGTTAGCTCGCCTGATGGGAGTTGGCTCTCTCTTTCTTTCTCTATAGCGGTGGCACAGTTGCAGGAGCTCGTTTTCTTAACGGAAGAGAATGAGGAAGCGAACGGGCTCGAAGAAAACGAGGAACGGGCCCTCATGTGCCAGCCAAGAGGAAGGACTACCCATATACTTCTCATTGCTGGCTGCTGCTGGTGGGAGTACCGGGGCCAACAAAGCTTGCCGTTGTTTTCTCCCTCTCATCCTTTGCGTTCTTATGCTGCAGTTGCTGATGCGCCTTTTTTTTTCTTCTTTTTAGTTTCTTCAACCTCGGGGTCTATGGCTCTTTTAACTCTTTCCAACGTTGCGGCGCGAAGCTCGTCGATTCCCGTTTGCTGCTGATAAGCTGTAGGCAAGTGTGTAACCCCCTTGTTCTTTTACAACTCTCAGATAATATCATGCAATTTATTTTTATAACCGAGTGCGCACCTACTTTTTGCAATGAACTGTTCTACTTCCGTATACATTGATTTCCTTCCAGTCCACAAGGGGACAACACGAGAATCAAGATTATGTGACTGTAAAATACTCGTTTATCACGAGTATTTTTTAATGAATAATTTTCTCAATGTATTTGAATAAGTTTTTACATTAAATTATCCAAAACAGTAATCCATACTTTGAAAAATGAATTAAAAGTTGAGCTTCTATTTATTAAATCAATAAGTATGGAATATATCTATAGGGTATAAATACACGCATTATATAAGTCAGACCAACAAAATATCGCAACTATTCGCTATTAATTTGCCTAATTTATGATGAAATCCTACGTAAAGCTTTGGGTGATAATAATTCTTGTATGAATTTGCTTTGCTTCATTTATGAGATACAATAGTTGGTGTAATGTTATAAGCTCGTAAGCATGACTTTTTCCTCTAAACTAGCATTCAAACATATTTTATCTCGATGTAATTCTTAAAAAGTGCGTTCTCAAAGATATGATTTAATGTAATGCAATAACCAGCTACTTTGTCCACTGCCATTACCCACAAGATACAATACTTGTGTTTTGTACATTAATTTGCACAGATAAGAGTAAAATACTTACATGTTCATTTCAAAGGAAATATACCAGATGTTGAAGTTAGTTCCTTCGTTTCTTGCCAGTCTCAAATCTCATCAGAAGCCTGGTATAAGTAGGTGGTATTTAGTAATCTTCAAAAAGAAGCTAATCAAATTGTTTGCAAATGTATAGAAAAAAAAAAAAAAAAAAAAGGCAGTACTCACAGTGCATTGATTGCATCCATGACGAAATCGAATTGACCTTTTCCTCTTTCTCCGCTCGTCCTTTGTTTTCTCTTTAGCTTGCAGCAGCGGTTGCAGCACACTCTCGCGCATAGGTTAAAACGTGTAATACCTATCCCGAGGCGTCGTTGGAATGCGGCCTTTTCACCTCGTTCTCAGGCGACCGACCCTCCTTCTCTCCTCGTGCCTCAAGACATTTTGGCTAATACCTGCAAGGCTTGCGGTGTGCCGGATTACGCTCTCCCGTGCATTTGTTGCCTCGAGCATATTGTACATACTCCTCTCACAGTCACTCGCGACGTCACTTGCGTTTACACAAAAGCAAAAACCGCGAGAACACATTACGCGATGATGAACTTTTGGATCGAAAATGACAGTTTGGAAGTTTATGGTAACGAAAACATAAGTATATGTATATCTAAGTACATAAGAGAACGAGCCTCAAGGGACGACGATCGACTGTCAAAATAATCAAATGACGCAACTTTACAGAATTTCGACGGTTTGGTTAGGTTAAATGTAAGTATACGTTAACATTATACATCTAATTCTTATCAGCATTCAGCAGGACTGGTCGGATCGTGGACCATACTTACACCTTATGTTAATCGGGTTGTGGAATGTGGAATGTGTTTAAAAGGATGGGAAAGAGAGGAACGCAGGGGATTTTTTGAATTCGAAGGAATTTAAAGTTCGTGAAGGTAAGGTCAATTCAATATCCTTACTTGATAAAAATACATACATGTCTAGATGTTAAGTTAACTTTTGGAGCAGAAATAGCGAAAAATCAAGCACGCACTGTAATCAGCAATTATATTTTATCAGTATGAATTTTTTTTTCTCATGCGTCACCCTAAAAGAAAACTTACTGTATTTCTCTGTTTACGTTTTTATTACACAATACAATGATACCTACTTTAATTAGACGAAAGAAAATCAACAGCAGTTTTGGAAAATATTTTATTATTGATTGGAGATTGGTTAACAACAATTGTGAAACACTACCTTAAATAAACAACGAAAAATAAAGGATCAATTCAGATGTACAATATAACAAGACACGGGTGATTTAAAAAAATGACAATGGTATAGTACACTTGATCCATCCAAAAAAACATCGAATAATAACTTTTTCCAAGTAAATTCACACCATACACGAGGTAAACCAAAACAAAAAGATTCAAGAGAAGAAATGAAAAAAAAAAAAAAAAAAAAAAAAAAAAAAAAAAAAAAAAAAAAAAAAAAAAAAAA